TTTTAATTAATTTTTGTGCATTTCAAAATTAATTCATTTTTAGTTGATTTTAAGGCTACATTACATCATTACATTACTATAGTACATTTAAAGAAAATTAATTTCTTTAAATAATAATATCAAAACTTGCATCCTAAATTTGATATATAAAATAATATTTATTTATTAATGAATCTAACCTCTATGATTTGAGTGAACAATCTTAAGTTTTAACTCTTAAATTAATTCTTTTATTGTCAAGATATTTTGAATTTGAGTTTAATAATGTAATGCACATGCCTGTTAAATTTGAGATACATTTACAAAGTTTAACACCTTCTATTCATGTTGGGAAAAACAGGGCTGATGCTGTCATTTATTCACTCAATCTATATCTTGCAGTCATCGAGGGACAAATTGACTCGGTAATACTACCGTTACTCACTTTGCTTAGAATCATTTTTCCCCTTTCTCTTCAGCTAGATATTAAATTAAATGCCTTCTCTCTCCAAGCAACAATAAGTACTAATTTTTCTCATTCGGTAGCAGCATCCTTTGTTTAGTCTTCTCCCCCATTTCTCTTGATATGGTTCTGGACAGGTTTCTAATGGAGGCTGTAGCAGAAGGCAGCATGCCTGGAGGAGAGGCTAAGGTTGAGTGATGGAACTCTATCAAGTTGAAAGCTGCAGGTGCATCTTTTAAGAGAAGTTAGAAGGCTTTGAGGAAGCAAGTTTTGGGAAAATACAATTGTTTGATGGTAAGGGTTTCGGTTGCTCCAGAAAGTTAAAGCTTCTTGGTACCTAAATGTTTACTGAAGCCATTGGAGTGAAGTTAGAATTCTACTCAGCTATGGAGAAGAGTTTTAAATTTTCAATCCAAATATATTGTATGTTTGATAACCAAAAGATTTCACTTCAAAGGCAGCTTGGGGTAGTGATTGATGGTCTATGTTATTTTTCATCAAATCTTTGTAATTTGACTTCAATGGCATTTAGCAGTTCTAGAGTTACCAATTGATTGTGTCCGTATCTCAACGTTTTTGCAAGTTAATTGAAGGATTTAATGTTAAGTATTTTGTGGGAAAATTTGGGCAACTTAATCAAGTTCAAAACACAGCAATAGTAAAATCAACCCAAGAATTTTTTACATGAAAAACCCAAAAAGAAAAAAACCATGGACCTACTCCATATAAAAAATTCCACTATGAAAAATTGTACACTTGCAGAGATTTTTCTCTAGATGGAAAGAACAACAACATCAATCTCACTTCCCTGGATGGAACTGGATGCATAAATAATGAAATCACAAGATTCTACCTTGCCCTCAAACTTGTTCGAATAAGTCTGACAGTTAAGGGGGAGACTACTCTGACTTTAGTCTCTTCAGTTTTTTTAGCTATCTTGAACTGCAACTCAGCTTGCAAAATCATTAAGAGTCACCCCCCAAATCAAGGAGGACTAGAAAATATTCCAGCAAACAAGGACTGCAGGAAAGGAAATCACTTTTATAAGTAAATCTTTAACCTATCAAAGGAATCTTCTTGGATGATACAATGCTGATGAACTGTTACTTACTAATTGTATTGATGAAAAATTGCAGAGAGAAACACTTCTTTAGTTGAGTCTCCTTTTCCAATGAAAATTTTCTTCGAGGCTTGACAACAAAGCAGAGAAAATTTTTTGCCAATGACCTGAGTAAAGAAATCAATTAGAGCGGAAATAAATACCGAACAAGGGTTGTCAAGTTTGCATGATGAACTCCCATAAGAAGTTTAACCTCTCATTGGAGTTATAGCATAATGTTCAAGACATGAGGATTAACTCAAAAGTATTTTAGAGATAAAATGTTCATACCTTTATAGGAAATTCCCTGTACCCTTGACCGGATGATGAGATAGCATCTCTACGGCTGTAGGCTACTTAAGAACCATCATCTAAGTAATCATCAAAGTGTTCCCATGCCCCTCTTCTGATGTCTCTCTCAAAGATATTGGTAAGTTTCACTAGCTCACAACATTTAAATTTTCCATTCTTTGACTTCAAAGTAATTGTAACCATCTTGTTCTCTTTTTCAGCATTCAACTTCTTTACATCTGATAGAGTCAAGTTCAACGAGAACAGGTGTGCCAGGAAAACTTATTAGTTGATTTTAGAATAAAAATCAGCACTCGAATGACTTAATTGAACATCCAACACTATTTAACAAACATACAGTGATACCTTGTCATTTATTTATTTGTCTATTCCGTCTAGGCTCCAAAATGTAGGCAAATGTTGCAGCTGATGCTTCCAGTGGAACAACAGACTTGTTTTTCTTCTCCTCTCACACACTTCCATCAATTTAGTTGACATTATTATTAGTATTCAAAAACAAACAGAATGATAGATGTGTGTATCCACTATGAATTTAAGATGAAGCAAACCTGAATAAGTTGATATATTCCTTGACCATGAGTGGAAGGGAGCCAGAAAGCTCGTTTCCTTCTAAATTTCTTGCAAGGTTTAGAAGCAATATCAAATAGGAATTAGTCATTGACTTCACCCCTACCGTTAACTTCACCAAATATGCATAGATAACTTACAATATCTCAAACAAGGTCAATTGGGCACTTCTCTGGTTATGCCACTCTCTGATAAATCCCTCTAACAAACATCTTAGTCAGTTTAATGTCATTCATTAATTGGTTTCCACCATCAACATCTTCACCAGATTGTTTTCTTGTGAGATAAATATATACTAACAGAAAACTGTAGTATTTTAAGATAAGATATATAAGGACCTTGTAAATCTGCAAGCACCTTGAGGACAAGTTCCTGCATATTCAATGTATTTGTTAGTAGTCAGTAACTAAAAACTTTGTGAACTTAATACTCATCCTAGTTGGAAGGATCATAACCCTCATGGATGCCATTAAGACCACCCCAAGAGCAATCTTTAGGTGCACAGTGATCTTGTTGCTGGTTTCTCTAGAGTACATATGTTGACTTTCAGTAGATTATTGCATCAACCAACTCCTTCAGCTGTACCATTTTCATGAATTAGTTATTGACTTCACGCTTACCACCAACTTCACCAAATATGCATAGATAACTTACAATATCATAAACAAGTTCAGTTGGATGCTTCCATGGTTATGTCATCCTCTGATAAATTTCTATCAAATGGAAGCGCCATGAGATATCTTCCCTGTAAATCTGTAAGTGCCACGAGAACAAGTTCCTGCAGATTCAAGTTGTCAGTAAACAAAAACATTGTGAACTTGATACTCATCCTAGCTGGAAGTATCATTACCCTTATAGATGCTATTAAGACCAACCCAGGATCTTGTTGCTGGTTTCTCTCCACTACATATGTTGACCTTCGGTAGATTATTGCATCAGCCAACTCCCATAGCTGTACATAAATTTTAGTCAGAATCATGTATAATAGGTTCTAGAATACCAGAAATATGTTGAAAAGATAAAGGTTAGAAAAACCTGTCCCATTTTCATGATAGCAGGAGCATTGAGAACTGATGGGAGGGTTGACCTGTTGGTTTTTTTCCAGATAAAAGCCAATGCTTTCTCCACTCAACAGCCATAAAGCTGTATATGGTACTAGTAATAGAGTACTCTGGAGCAATGACACCATAAAAAGGTTCTCTATTTCAAGTATTTTTGAATTCTCTGCTCTGGTTTGCTTGGAGCCCTTAACCTCAACAAAGTGTACGTATAGCTAAAATTTGCTAACATGTACCAGTTATCTGCAGTGCTCATAAAAAGAGGTCCTGATCAGTAACCATTACAATTCCAGCTATCTAGAGGATAGAATGTTTTTTGAATGTCACAATTCCAATTCAGCAGGGGAGAAACTGCAAAAACACCACAATCACTAACCTTAAATCAAAAAACTTTCATGCTTAAAAATTTAATTTAGTATGCAGTTTGATATAAATAAATTATAAATCTACTAAGGACATGATATGGTTACAAAGTAACAAGAGAACTGTACTCAAATTTCTGGTTTAGGATCATGGCGCTGACATAATCTGAGCCCCTTGAAATCCTCCCAAGTTTTCTAACACAACAAAGAGAGCCACAGAAGATATAAACGCTCGGTTTGCATATCATACATTTGGCACAAAACCTTGGAGATATTTCGAGCATCCATGAATCATGAAAGCATTCTCACATACAGTTATGTACATGCAAAGACGCCTATATTTAATTGTTGAATTCATTTTTCATTCAAAATATGAAAGAGGATTATGACAAAAAAAAAAAAATTTAATGAGGAATAAAAACAGACCTTTAATAGGATTCCACAGTGTGGCCATGCACCTCCTCTGTTTTCTCTCCATGGCATCATTTGATAATTATTTGAGCCCTATAAATTCAAACAAAATAAATCAAGAGCTATTCAATTGGGAAAAATATCGTAAGAAGGAGAAACCTGTAAAAGAATTTGAGCACTCACTAGATTAGCTTTGATCAATTAAATTAAACGTACCTCTTCTTTTCAAAACCTAGATCCTTTAGGGATTGCAGGGTCATCTACGAGATGAAGGCACGCGGAATGTGGGAAATCTTGGGCCATTCAGGGCCCCTCTTTTCAGCGCATCTTTCCTTCAATTTGGAACAATTTCTAATCTCAAGATCATCTAAGTTGGAGAGACGATGCATGGCTTTAGCAGAAGGCAGATGCGTCAAATTATCACAATCAATAATCTCAAGCCACTGAAGAGAAGAGAGGTCTCCCAACCACTCTGGTAAAGCTTACACTCCATTGAATCGACTTATAGTCAATTGTTGGAGGCCAGTGAGATGTCGAAGCTGATGTGGCAGTGACTTTAGTTTATCCCATCCTTCCAAAGTCAAATCTTTGAGGGAGGCGTGGAGGTGATGGATGGAAGAGAGCCCTGGGTATTCTTCCAACTCAGACCAGAAAGGACCCATCCATAAGCTCTCCAAGCACGTGAGACTACTTAGGCACTCCTCTGGAATGCTCTTCAATTTGTTCCACGAACGAATGCTTAAAGAAGTAAGAGAAGAGAGGTTTCCCAACCACTCTGGTAAAGCTTCCACTCTGGTGAATGAATATATCTTCAATTCCTTAAGAGCAGTGAGATGTTGAAGCTGATCTGGCAGAGACTTTAGTTTATCCCATCGAACCAATTTCAAATTTTCAAGGGAGGCGTGGAGGTGATGGATTGAAGTGAGTCCAGGGAATTCCTCCAACTCTGAGTAGAAAGGACCCATCCTTAATTGCTTCAAGCGAGTGAGCCTACCCAGGCACTCCTCTGGAATTCTATTCAATTTGTTACATGAACAAATCGATAAAGAAACAAGAGAAGAAAGGTCCCCCACCCACTCTGGAAAAGCTTCCACTCCGTTGAAATTGCGTATCTGTAATTCTCTGAGGGTAGTAAAATGTTGAAGCTGATGTGGCAAAGACTTTATTTTGTCCCATCCTTTCAAAAACAAAGTTTCAATAGAGATGTTTCGGTGAGGGATGAAAGTCAGTCCAAATCCAGGGAATTCCTCTAGCTCTGACCAAAAAGGACCCATCTCTACATTCTTCAAACTATTAAGGCCACTCAGGTACTCTTCTGATATGCTCCTTACTTTTTCGCAATGACGAATGGTCAAAGAAGTAAGCAAATGAAATCTTCCCATATCTTGTGCAATAGAAATTAGATTGGAGCACTGCACAATCCTCAAGTGTTGAAGAGAAGGGCAGGTATCTAGCCCATTTGGTAGACAAACTAGTTCTGGACAACTTCTAATTGATAATGTTTTAAGAGAGAGCTGCCCATCTATGCTTGGGATAGCCACAAGACTTGAACAATTATATATCGCCAACTCAGAGAGCTTGTGGTGAGATGCGAATCCACCCATCGACCAAGTTGTCAACTTAGGACAACTCTGAATTGACAACCGCTCAAGGCAAGGAAACACAATTACTCCTTCTATTTCTGCCCATTCCTCTAGGCTTCCCATGCCATATAATGTGAGATTTTTCAAAGCCGGGAACAGTGTGATTTTGTCACCTCCACCATGGCTACTACTTGCAATGTTGCTTCTGTTAAGATTAAACTTGCTGCCCATACGTTTCACCTTTTCCATACTCCATATATCAAGAACTTGGAGATTAGGTAAAAATCCCAAACTAGGAACATCCATACATTCACCACAATCATATAATTTCAATTCCAGTAGACTATTGAGTACAAATGAATCACCAGATAAATTGACACCCTTCTCCATCCATGATGGAAACTGCTCTCCCATATAATCACTAATACTTAATTTTTTCAAATTTGAGGGAGGCTGAAGGCCTTCTAGAACCTCCTCATGATTGTTGTAGCCCTCTTCTTTGTTTCCTCCCCAGTCCAATTGCAACTCATACAATCTTGTCTTTTGCTCCATGTTTGCTTTGGTGGCTTCTGATTTAGATTTGACAAATTCAAGGTTGCATATTCTCAATGCTCCTCCAAGTTGACTCAAGCGTCCAAGTTCTTCAATATGATATCCCTTTTCTTTGCCCACAGCAAATAATGATAAGGTTTGCAAGGAAGTCAAACGCCCAATATTTCTTGGCATGAGCTTCTTTTGGTCAAAATAAAAATGCTTCAAACTGATCAGATTTTCCATTCCATTAGGAAGCTTTTGAAGATGATAGCAGGCCATCAATTTTAAGGTCTGCAAATTATAAAGCTTGGAGAAGGATTTTGGCAGTACCCTGATTTTAGCTTTTGAGATCTCAAGGTATCTCAAATGCTTCAATTTTCTTGGAGAAACTGGTAGTTTATCACCATCTGCTTTCTTTAAACTTAAAGACCGTATGCTTTTAAGATCCATCTTTGACATGCTGCAGAAATCAACCTCTGAGAACAATGAATGCAACTTTGGAGCTACACCTCTCAAAATAGTTGTATCCACTACTGCACTAGATGGAACCTTCAGATGCCGAATGCAAGAATTTTCATGGATGGAATCATTCTTCCAAATCAATGTTTCACCTTCTGAAACTAACAGGGCAAGATCATGCACCACATCGTGCATCTTGAAGGATATGATGTTCCCATATTTATCCCTCTTTACATCTTGGAACAAGCAGTTAGATATTAGATCACTAACATACTTGTTCCCAATATCTTCCATCATTTCCTGACTAGATGAATGAAGATATCCTTGGGCCATCCAATGCTGCACTAAATCATCTTTTTTGAAATTAAAATCTTTTGGGAAAATTGAACAAAAAGAGAAGCATTTCTTCAAAGGTGAAGGCAAATGATCAAAACTTAGTTTAAGTACAAATTTTATCTGATCAGAATCTTCTAAATTCCAAACAATTTTATCTTTAATAGACAACCACCCATCTACTCCCTTTACATTACACATTGTTCCTCCCAAAACATTTGCAATTAATGGCAGGCCTCCACATTTTTTTGCAATTTCCCTACCAATAGCCTCTAACTGCTGATCAGGTATGGATGCCTCTGTAGATTCAAAAACCTTCCCTTTTATTATCAACCAACAATCATCATCTGATAGCTTTTTTAAATGATGCCTACACAAAGGAAGACACTTGTCTATGGATGATGCCACCCCTTCTTTACGAGTGGTTACAACAATGGAGTTCCCACTAGTTTTCACAAATTTTGACAAAAGACCACTAAAAGTAGCCCAAGTATTGGAATTATCCTCCCACACATCATCAAGAACAAGGAGAAAATTTTTCTTTTCTATTTTTTCTTCTAGTTCTTTGAGCAAAACATTTATGTTATTTATTCCACCAGCATTCTTATCAAGATGTTCCAACATCCCTTTCAAAATTTTTTGTTCATCAAAATCATCAGAAACACACACCCATGCTACTGCATCAAACATGTTTCTCTTTTCTATTTCTTTGTATAGCAATTTTGCTAAAGTTGTCTTTCCAACTCCTGCCATGCCAATCAAAGAAATGACAGAGATGGGATGCTGATGACCCCTTTGTTCAGTCAACAAGTTAACAATTTCTGCGACATCCTCATCCCTTCTTGATTCAAATTTTGAATCTAGAAAGGAGTGAGTATCAGGCTGGGATTTGCCAACCCGGGGCCTTTCGTTTCTAGCAAGAAGAGTATTAAAAACTGCATCTCCTTTTACTTTAACAAGAGACTCATTAATCTTCTTAATTTTATTAGCCATGTTGAAACGAAATGCAATGGGATTTGAGGGAGAGAAAAAGTTGCGCACCCGTTTCACTTGGCTTTGAGTCTGTACTCGATGTCGGAGCACCTCATATGCAACCTCATCCAATACATTCACCATATCATAAGCAACGTCTTTGAGCTCCTGTAGCCAATCCCGTATTGCCACCTCACTTTGTCGTTCCTCTGCATCTTGGAGCACATGTTGAATCTGGTTGAGCAACTTGCTAAGCTTCTCCACTCCTTCTCCAACCCCCATGCAAAGCGAATCTCTCTAGCAATAAACGGTGCCAATTTGAAAAGTGCCTCTTGTATGACAGGAACAAGAAAAGTTTCAGCCATCTTGCTTAAGCAGAGTGAGAGAGTTAGTAAGCAGAAAGCAATTTGAGAGAAATGAAGAGACCAGCGGGGCAGCGACTACTAATTATATAGTAGGAATTAACCAAAACGTATTTGGTGAACGATTCTTCACCTTTTTTTATATGACAAATTTGCCCCTATTAACAGAAGATTTAACACTTTGAAAATTCAACCGTGACTCTTTATTCTCTCTCCTGTCTTCCTTATTTATATAGCATAAAGAAAGACTTATGGAAGAAGACTACACTGCTAGTCCCTAGGCTAAAGACGCGAAGCGAATAAGATTACACCATCAAAGCATCTTAGGGAAAAGATGTCCCAACCTCTCCAAATAACCACTAGTCTTCTGAATAGCAGTTAAAATCGCTTTAATTTACTTCAATTTCCCCTGGCATCAGCCTCTTCGTTGCAGCCTATAGTTTTCATTTTTTTTTTTTTTTTATATACAAGAAGTGACATCATCCTCATTATGTAAATGTAAGATTTTGACCATAAAATTTAATCTCTTAAGAATCCTCTAACGAGCTTATTTATTTTTTCTTTTATGTGTAACATTAAATATTACTGTTGTATTCAATAAAATGGAAAATTGCTCTCACAATTAATTAATGTTCATAACATTACATATTAATATTCAAAATATTTTTTAATTTAAAACTACTAATTATATCTAGTTACATTCAAATATAATTGTTATAACTAACAACATTTCCCTTATATATATATATATATAAACTTTCAATTTATTATTGATGACTTCTCGTTTCATTCATAAAAATTAAGATCTTTAAACTGATGAAATCATAACCAACAACTCTACTAATTCACATCAACTAGCATAGGGATAGACTTTAGTGGAAGACTACACCTCTACAAAAGATGCCCCAACCACTGTAGCAATTCGCATCAACTTGCATAAAGAAAGAGTTAGAATAGAAAAGACTACACTGCTACTCACTAGGCTGATGAAATGAATAACTCCACAACATCTAAGCATCTATAGAAAAGATCTCCCAACCTATCTGGTGAATAAGTGTCTTGCTGGTAGCCTATAATTTTAATTTTTTTAATATATAATGTGATGTTATAATTATTGTCTTCCTAATTCAACTTATTTATTTTGA